TGGAATTACTGATGAGCACCCGGAAGTCCTTAATCAGTGCCTGGCCCGGTTTTGAACAGGGAGGAAAGGAGGCTGCTTCCACCCCATCCTGCAATAGAGCTTAGAATATGAGAAGCAAGGAGTAGATTGAGGGCTCCCTAGGATCTTTCACTCTCTAGGTTTACGGGCTCCATTTCATCATTTGGTGCTAATACTTTCCAGGACCATTGTCAGCACTTTGAACACTTTTTTTTTTCCCCTGTCTTATTTTGGCTCTGGGTCACTTCTTATGTTGGTCTCAAGCTTATGTGCTTCTCAGAACACATTTTACCTAGGTCAATATGAAACAAAAATCCTAGAATAGCTATGAATCCTGGGTGATTGGAATAGGAATGGTCCCCAAAAGCTCATATGTTTCAGTGCTTGGCCCATAGGGAGGTGTGGCTTTTTTGGAGTAGGTGTGGCCTTATTGAAGGAAGTGTGTCTATGTAGAGGTGGGCTTTGAGGTCTTATATGTTAAAGCTAGCCTGTGGATAAAGATGTAGAACTCTAAGCTCCTTCTCCAGCACCATGTCCTGCCATAATAATGGACTAACTGCCATGAAACTTTAAGCCAGCCCCAATTAAATGTTTTCCTTTGTAAGAGTTGCTTCCATCATGGCATCTCTTCACAGCAACAGAAACCCTAACCAAGACAGGGTTCTCCTTAATAATAGAAATAGGAAAACCAGGTTTAAATGGGGACACAGTACTAGAACCTAGACCAAGTTCATTTATCAAAAACAGTCTTATATTGAGTTAGTATATAAGACCACAGAGACTGTGAGCAGCAATTGACAACTGATTTAATCTTTATAACCAAATAACACCATCATCGTATCAAAACAGAAGCAAAGAGAGTTGGGGTACAGGTTAAATGTCAAACACTTTTCTAGTATGCACAAGACCCTGGTTCCATCACAGCTCTGAAAAATACACATGAAAATAATAATAAAGAAAACACAATCTAGGAACATCCCTTTCAAACCTCTCTCTCCCTCAAACTTGCCTTCCTCTGTGTGTGTGTGTGTGTGTGTGTGTGTGTGTGTGTGCGCGCACTTCATTCCCTGCCATCACCCACTGCCCCCCTTCCCTGGCTCCTTCTTCTTCCTCCTCCTTTTATCCTGAGGATAGAGATGTTTCTTTCCCCTCCTCTCTATGAATCTGCTCTTTCAGAGCCCATTAAGACCTTCCAAATGGCTGAATCCTACAAGGTCTTTTAAACTACCTTTTATTTTTAACTACTACAAAAGTTTCTGCTTCCTTCCTTTAGGTTGTGTAGCGTGTTTAATTTTTCCCTTTGCTTGATCTACTCTTCCTCTGTTGCATTGGCAACTCCTTTTGCACATACCTTAAATCATGGAGCACCCACACTGATGTGATTTCTCCTGTGTCCTGCACAACAGCATTGGAAGATGCCTTCTATGTCTCAGACCCAGAATTTCCAGAGCTGGCATCTTTGCTCCTGTGCTTGCCATCTTGTCCGAATCTTCCTTCTGTTCCCATTTCCAGTACCTGTCACCAGAAGCTGTTCAACTACTGACATAGGAAGCTTTGATCTCACACCTTTCTCTGGATTCTTTAGATGTCTCTATATCAGTCCCCTGTCCAAAAGAACAATCCCTCTGTACTGAGGAACTCCTCCTATGGCTCCTCCCTCTTCCTATTATTCCCTTTCATATTTATCACTGCTTATATATTAGGTGTCTACTGATTTACCATCCATATTCTCCACATAATGCAAGCCCATTACTGCAAATCCTGTGCCTGTATCTAGAGCAGTGCCAGGCATTTGCCTGATTCTCAGTGGATATCTGTGGAAGGAATGAAAGGTACTTGTTTCTTTTTCTACCTCAGATCTGGTCTTGGGAACATTTTAAATTCTGCTGTTTTCTTTTTGGAAATCTCTTTGTTTCCTTTCCCACTACACTGTTTGAAACTGGGACCTACCATACCATACTAACACTGACCTGGCTCTCTGGCTAGCCTCATGCTGTGGCTGTCTTCTTAGACTACATAAATAAATCTCCCATCCTACACACAGTCTGGATGTCTCCTTCCTCTACATGAACCCTAGGGACACTGAGAGCTGCTTACTGATGTGTGCCTAACAGCCTAGCCATTCTCTCTCTCTCTCTCTCTCTCTCTCTCTCTCTCTCAGCAGAGGTATATAGATAGCCACAGTTTTATCAAATTTAAGAAAATGGTTAATGAGCAGAGTGTGGAAAAAGAACATGGAAGAAGAGGGCTGTAGAACTGGGGACCAATGACCCATCCTGTTAAAGGAACATTGGAGAGATCCTAGGAATTTGCACTGGAGTACCTGGGACAGAATTCTAGAATGAGTAATGACAATAAAGAACAGCTACATAGCAATGGGAGGGGCTGGAGAGAGACAGAAAGGGGAAAAAAGTCTATTCATTCTGAAGTGAGATAGGATTTCCACACTTGTCTACATCTAAAAGCTAAAAATAGGGACTTTGGGAAGAACAGTAGCGAGGAATCTTTTAATTCTACTGACATGGGCTATAAGAAGCAAAGTTTGCAGGGACGGGTGTGTCTATCACTCTGAGTGGTAAAATTAGAAAAAATTTTATTTTGGGTGCGCCAACCTTGACTCCTCTCCACCGTCAGCCTACTTTCTTTATTCTGTGCACTGAAAACTTCATTAGAAAAAAAGTCTGATATAGTCACTCACATAAAGTTATAAGGTATACTGTGGTCATTTTACACCCCTGCAAAAGACAAGGTGAAGCCAAAAACAGCAAGCAGAAGAATACCTAAATGTAGGTGGTGTGCATAATAACATCAGTCAGATTTCTGTCTCAGTGACACAGGCCTGGCACAAAAAAAAAAAAAA